TTGGCAGTTTGAACTTTCGAACACAACACAGCACAAAGTAAAAACGACAGAGTTACAATTAGCGGTTTTAAGAATGCAAGAACAAAATGCGATCTGCGCATTGCGAAATAATATCTCACAGACAGGCAAAGAGCTCTGGTGGCCGAAACAAGCACACATGCTGATAATTGTGCACGTGCATTCAAACTGGAAAATACATTAAATGAATGAATATATTTTACACCATCATTAATTTGTGCAACTGCATAGTATTAATCCAATCTACAAAAATGAAATTATTTAAAGCAATGAAAATTAAAATTTTGATTTTCTCTCTTGCATGCTCTTGATATATATATATAGGAGTACCCCAAAATAAACAGACAGCACAACATGACAGAATTTTGTAATTACAGATCATGCAGTTAGACTTCATTAGTGTAACGATTTTCCATGTCTATCTGTCATCAGGCATCAGTCTCAGTACAGTAATTCATACTCAATGCTTAATCTGCATGTGTTCTTGTTTGCAGCATCTTGTGATATTGTGTTGCGCATGATCACAGAGAATGTGCATTAAATTTCAGCTGATACCACTGCTGCACTTCAGTGAACCTTTAAAATGATGCTCCAAATAATTCACAAGTATACGAGTTGTTTTTCAGATTCAAAAACATATCAAATAAGAACTACAATAATTTGGAAGTCCACGTGATCAGCAGAAATGGCAAAAAACACTGAGAAAGCATCACAGGATATTAAAGAAGATCATGAAAAGATCATTCTGAAAAAACTCTGTCTGACAATTTTGAGAAAAGAATAACATGGTGCATCTGTCTCACGACCTTTAATTATTAAATCTTACTTAATGCGAGACTTCACTGTTTACAAGAAAGCCCTTAAAAAGCAACTGAATGATGAGGATGAGGTACAAGAAAATATGTTACATGCTATAAATAATATTTTTCATAAAGATTCCATAATTATTTATTTATTTCCAGAAGTGGGAAAAATGCTGGAAGAATTGTATCAATGCTGGTGGAGAATATTTTGAATGGAACAAAAATATATTGTAACAAAATGCCAAGCTACAGTAAGATAGCTTCCTCCCAAGGTGGGTTTAGGGTTGCAAAAAGATGGCAAGGGAAGGCATGGTTGACATATTTGGCACAAAATTGCCTATTTGGTGACATGCCATAGACGGATGGAGAAACAGCGGTTGCCAACCGGTGGTCCATGCACCACTGGTGGTCTGTGAAAACGTTTTGATGGTCTGCAGAAAAATTGGGACATTATTTATATTTTTATGAAGATTCAGTTTAAAAAATGACGAGTAACAAAACCTATTATGGAATATACTTTTTTTTTTTTTTTTTTTTTTTTTTAATTTTAGCTACTACTTTTAGCGAAATTCCTTCTGAATTTAGAGACTTTTTAGCTACCTTTGCAGCTGTACCTAGTGATATTTGAAAGTGAGAGTTGGCATCCATGGATATGCTGCTGTTATCAATAATAGCACAAACTGAAATTCTCTTTCCTTTTGAATTAAAAACATATGCTATTGTAGTCCTTAATATGTCAATAGGCAACTTGATGGATTTTTATGAGAACCATCTGCCTTCTTGTTTATGATTGCATCACTGGAAGTTTCAGCTTTTGTTTTGTCTAACTTTTGATTGATGGCACCATTGCTGAGTAAGCGATGAGTATTATGTTTACAATAATTAAAAATTTGCAGCATAACACTTTCAGTTTACTGATATTGCTTTGCGTTTGCCAGTTTGTTCTTGCTTTTCATGAAGTTCCTTTTCAGTGATATGGAAATGTGAAGCATTCCATACAAAAAGGTTAAGATTTTTGTACTTTTCATATAATTTTTCAATGTGAACAAAATATGTGTATCAGTAAAATGTTAACAGTGTTTTAATTGTTACTCATAATCAGGGGCGTAGCCTGAATTTCCATAAAGGCATGCTGCTGAAAACCACATGTTTCGAAAATTATATCATCAAATAAAAATTAGAATTACATGTACAGTAAGACCCCGCTTAACGCTGTTTCGGTTTAGCGCTCTTTTATTTCAACCCAGGGATTCCACGAAATCGCTCGCGGCATATGGGGATTCCCCGAAATATTATGCAGCGATAGGTTTCAAATACATATCCGAAAGAGTGTACTTGTATTTCTTGTTTGGTGCAGTATTGTACAGACATATTTTGAAGGGGTAAATGTGGAAGATGTCAAAGAAATAATTCAAGAAGCAGCGGCTAGTCTTTCTAATGATGAGCTCAAGGAATTAACTGAACAAGAAGAAAACAAAAATGTTGACAGCAGTGATTCAGAAGAAGAGCAAAAAGAACTTTCGATGGCGTTTGTAAAAAGGAGTTTGTCTACCATAACTGAAATAATGGATCAATTCATTGAAAATGATCCGAATTTTGACAGGAGCTCAAAAGTAAGGCGTGGTGTTAGAGATGCTCTATCCGTTTATGAAGAACTTTTAAGAGAACAACGCAAAAAGAAAAAGGCAAACAACATTAGATGCTTTTGTCACAAAAAGGCAGAACACTGAAAACGCGGAAGGCTAACTAATATGACTGACTGAGAATTTTATTTGTTTTTTTTTAAGAGTATTCGTTTGTTATTCATGTTTTGTTTTTATTTTTGCAAGAAATAATAATGTGGTATTAATTTGGGCTTTAAGAAATAAATGTTTGGTTTTATTTTTATTAAAAAAACATACTTTTTAAATTTAATACCTAACCAATTTCCTAGCCATCTTCCCCTAACCCCAATATTTACATGTAAAGATAGCCTCGTTTAGCGCTGTTTCGCATTACCATACTTGCCAACCTATGACAAAAAATCAAAATTTTTCTCATTTCAGTATTATGCAGCTGTTGGAACTGTTTCAATTTTTCCTTTCTTTTAGAACTCCTTTCAAGATAATAATAAATATCAACAATGTGTTCATCCACATTTAATGGTAAAGAAGCTGCCCTTTTTTCAGCTGCTAAATTTAAGAGGTGACAGGTGCACGTCATAATCTGCAAATCTGAATTTTCATTTCCTAAGATGCCTGCAACACCAGTCTTCAAGCCTACCAATACCGGTGCATTATCGGCACCAAGTGCTAAGCAATTATCCAGAGGGACTACATTTTCTTTTAAAGTTTTAATAATTAGCTGTGCTCAAGTAAAGCCTGTCAAATGTCCTTCTAAAGTGGGGATAGAAAGTAAACTGCACTCAATTTCTGAAGACTCTGGATTAAAAAAAGAAACAACAATTGGATACAGTTTTGAATTGGTATTATTGCTTCCATCCGTAGAGAGGCAGAACGGAGCTGTTTTAATGCAATCAATAACTGAAGATTTATTTTTCAAACCCATTTCTTTAACAATTGCACCTGTTTTGGTCCTTGCACTTGAGTATTTCTTAGCGATTTCACTATCGGGAAACATTTTTCTAAATAAAGCTACAGCGTGCTCCGATGCATTCAGTGGCAGGTTGTGCTCCAGTAAAAAGGCAGAGAACAGACATTCTGCATTAATCACTTTTTGATCTTTTGTTTCCGAAGAAAAATTTAATTTTTCGTTTTTTTCAAAACAACTCATGTTGTCCTTGTGTTTTTGTGTACGCACACGTTTGAGAACATCTGCCCTTCCACCAAGCGAAACCGAAAAATCGCAACGACAGATGGTACACCTTGCAAATTTATTACATTTCCTTGAAGAAATAATGGAAGGAAAGTCAACTGTGAACGATTTTTGAAACGTGCACGAGTATTTCACCTTTCTCACAGACATATCAAAAGACGATAATTTCTAAAACTATTTCCTAAAGGCACGTGTACTCACACAACTCAGGACAAGATGAACGAAATAGCAAAAGAACATCCAAAGAACAGCCAACGGCCTTGATCTTGCTTTGTGCTCATTGGCTAATATATGCCAGATGACACGCAGTGGAGCTCGATGCCCATTGGACAACTGGAGAACGAAGTTTCTGGATACGTATGCTGTCAATCACAAAGCAGAAATTCTCATCTGATTCGCAAGGTTTCATTTTAGATATAATCTAGAGAAAATTCAGTTGCTTTCAGACGTCCAAAATCACTTTTTTTTTTTTTTTTTTTTTTTTTTTTTTCATATAACGAAGTATTAAGCCAAGTTCCATAAAAATCGTGAGAAATATTAAGAATAAGAAAAAGTCGGGAGAAATATATTGTAAATCGGGTTGGCGGGAGAGCGGTCGAAAATCGGGAGTCTCCCGCCTAAATCGGGAGAGTTGGCAACTCTGCATTACGCTCTACTTTGATGGAACGTATCCCCCGCGTTAAGCGGGGTCTTACTGTATTGGAAAGTTGAATACTGTTTTTGCGTATTAATATGTTGTTTTTAAGGTCTGATTTAAGAGGTTTTTTTAATTCATATTAATGGTTCGCCAAATATAAAATTATATATGTAGTGGTCTGTGAAGTTCTAAGGGTTGACAACCAATGTTTTAGAACAAATTCTTATTGCTTTGGACCAGTGTGTTCCCGAAGGCAAGCCAAAAGCTATATGAACCTTGCCTGTATGTGGAGCAGCAGCGTACCGTCAATACACTGTAGTGCATTGTCGAGTTTTATTGAGCTCCGGGAGCGACCGACCGAGTTAGGAGCTGTAATTTAGTGTATTGCCTTGAAGTTGTCTTTACCGTCATAGCCCGACAGCCTGAAGGCTGTGTTGCTGATAGTTTCAGAGTGTTTGTCATAATTTTTTGACAACTGTAAATGTGATTTTTAGAACTGTTCTGAGTAATACTGGCTGAATAGTATTTTGATTCTTTATCAAGTGCTGTTATCAATCACTCCAAATCCACAAACCCGTAGAAAGCGACAATATAAATGGAAAGAATCGAAAAATGCTTAAAAATCATTCATTCCTTTTTACCACTTTTAAAATTGCAAAATTAAGTTCATATGCAGACTGAAGATAAGCTTTAATTATAAAATAAATATATAAAAAATTATAACTAACCTGTATCAGCAATTATTGGTGTAGTCACAGTTGCAGTTGCTGCCCTGGCTGCTGCTGCTGCTGTAGCAAGTGCAGCTGATATAGCTGCTTGGGCAGCATGTGCTAAGCCTTCAAAACGATACCTTTCAGATGATGCAGGAGTTCGCACAGAAGTTTCAGTGGTTAAATTTACCTGATTAAATAAACAATTTAGTATAAATATACTCAATAATATACTATTATGAATAAAAGTTCAAAAACCACAGTAGAATGAAACAGGTTATGAAATAGATCTGTCATCTAACAAATGGTATCTGTTCATTTTTACTGATCAGAAATTATTGCCAAGTTTGGAAGCATTTATCACCAAAAGATACAGCAAACTCAAAAAACATTGTAATAATAATTCATTTATATTTGAGATTTTTCTTTAGTTCTTGCATTTCCGTGCTTGTAAAACACACATGCATCCTATGGGGGGTTAGAAATCAAAACCAAGTAATAAAAGTTGTGAAATATTTTTTTTCGTTTCTAGGTCATTATCTCCTCCAAGACTGAAAACAATTACTATTTTCAATTTACCATCAAATGAAAATGAAGTTGCTATATTCTTCCAAGACAGGGATATTTTATCCTCCACTCCAATTTGCAAAAGCAGGCGTGTAATGAATCTATATACCACCATGAAAGCCATATGGAGAAGTAATGAAGAAAACTGGGTAAAAGAAAGGTCTTTGCATTGGTAATGAACGGCTGTACGACGCTATTGGATTCATACAGTATCAATAGATTTGTATGGCTCACCAATATATTGTCTGCATTCATGTTACAGCACTATAAAGGCCATGTTAACTATTTAATACCTTATTAAATGCTGCCAATTTATGACCATCTGAAAAATAAATTACAACACTTTTTAAGTAGAATTTTTGGAAATATAGTGTTTCTTTTTTTTCATTTTTATTATAACCTGCTTATATAAGTGCTGTTTTTCCCTCCTAAACTTGGAGACATTTTCTTCCCATGGTGCTTTGGTTATCAGAAAAACCAACAAGTATCATTATCACAAAAAACTTTTATCAAAATTTTATTTAAAAAATAAATAAAAATTGAGAACAATTATATAAGCTCTAGATTCCCCCTCTTAAACTGGTGACATTTTCTTTCATAGTTTCATAGTTTATCAGAAAAATCAACAAATATCATTATCACAAAAAACTAAAAATTTTATATAAACAATACATAAAAATAGAGAATATTTCAAATTCAATATATCACTTTTTCATTATGATGTCTTCGCATATAATGGGTTAAATAAAGACAAACCAAATGATTTTCTATCAATGTACATAAATAAAAAGAGAAATTGGTACCTGAGCAATAGGTAATATAAAATTATTTCAAAAGGTTACTAGCAAGAAATTTTACAAATCACTAAATATATATTTTACAGTCATTTCTCAATTAACTAGGAGGGAATAGTGCTTAACCATGTTCTGTCCAAAAATATTTTTTGCTTCTTGTCGAAGGATGGAAAAATTACTAAACCAAGCAATAAGCATAAAATATACCCAGAAACAAAATGCATGAGAAAACAGGAGTGACAGCAAATGATGTCTGCAAAATGAACTGCCAAAGATCAAAGCACATGACATTTTTTTTTTTTTTTTTTTCTTTGGACTTTGCCTATGAGGGAATATTCTTCTCATTTTGCGATTTTGCGTCGAATAATTCTGAATGTCTGTTTCAGTTTTCAAACTGTTGCCACCAAATAATATCGCCCTGCATTATATTTGAAGAAATTAAATAATGAAGAAGCTGCATCAATGCATCTATGTTTCTCGCATTGTGATACAACAACGGTACCTAGAGCCATCCAATTTTGAATAACATAATCCTATTGCGAATATGGGCATCTGGAAGCCCAAATTTACAATTTATACTTTGTTTCATTATTGATTTCATATTTTGTAAACTTTACTTTAATGGATTTTTGATTAAAAAACTCAAGGATTTCAAAGCGAGCAACGGCAACATTGTACAGAAAAAACATTTTTATCTCCAGCACATGAGACTGTGTATCGGAAATTCTAAAGATATGCTCAATTTAAAATTATTTTGCGATGTTGCTCTTGAGTAGAATTTTATGGTTTAAGTGCGAAGAACGTGATATTTAATGAAGAAAGGTAGCACACATAAAATCTGAAATCTTTCAGTTTTTTTTCTTTTTTTTTTTTTTTTTTTTTTTTTTTTTTTTTTTTTTTTTTTTTTTTTTTTTTTTTTTTTTTTTTTCTTTTTTTACATGATACATACGAGTTTAAACTTGATAACAGTGTACAGTGTTTCAATATTCTTATAAATAATGTTCTTTAATGCCATTTATAGCTTAGTTTCTTCATTTCTAATAATCTTCTGATCTTCCATTATTTACATTGTGTTCTTTCTGTCTTAAGTTTAATTTAAATTATGCACCCAAAAGAACGTAATCTTCAGATTAAAATACTTGAAAATACAAGTGAATTGTCAAAAGCATTTTTCTGTTAATAGGTTATTACTATTATATTTCAATTGCCTCAGATTAATTATCATTTTGAATTAGCCATACAGGTTATGCCCATATCATTATGGTAAATAAGCAGTTGACTATACCTTTAGATAAACATAACCATATTTACATAACTAAGAAAACTTTACAATAAGCAATCCTTGTTCATGATTTAACGTCAATTTAATTTGCTAAAGTAATTTTATTTCTATTTTGATAACGTTAGTAAGCTAATGATTTTTACATTATTAGAAGCTCCAAATATATTGTTGCGTTTTTCTCTTCTGACACCAGTTGTTGCGTTATTTTCTTCCTTCACGTTTGTACGGGCCTTGTGTGGATTTGGAGTGAATAACGACGACACTTGATGAAGTATCGAAACACACTTTATTTGCCAGTATTGTCAGGACAGTTCCAAAACACGTTTTACAGTCGTCGATGAACTACTATAAACACGCTGACATGATCAGCAACACAGCTTTCCGGTTATCAGGCTATCATGGCGGAGACAGCTTCACTCCAAGGCACCAGAGTACAGCTTCCGACTATGCTCGGTCGTTCTCGAAACTCCACGTACTCTCGAGACTCTCCACACTACAACTCACGATGCACTCGACGACACACAGAACACGGCTCCCGATTCTTTGGTTCAGTCATTCCCGGAGCTCAACACGCTCTCTCGACGATGCACTAACAGACTCCTTCGGTGAACTCGACAAGCCACTCGGCACTCGCTGCCTGGCTGTCAACTCGATCGACTCCGCAGGGATTGACTCGCTAGACAAGAGACCAACTCGATACTATCTTGCACTCTATGCGAGACAAACACTCTATCAGTTCGCTAGGCGAGACATTCACTCTTGCACTCTGTGCGAGGCACACACACTAACTGACTGCAAACCAGCAGGGTTTATATAGCTTTCAGCTTGTGTTCGAGAACATTCTGGGCTAAACTGGTAAGAATTCGTTCCAGAAGGTTCTCCGTCCATCCATGGCATATCTCACCCATTTTGTCGCCAAATATCACCAAATGGGCGATTTCTTGCCAAATGTGGCAATCCTGCCTTCTTTTGCCATTTTATGGCAACCCTAAACATGCTTCGCGGGGAAGTCATCTTACCACGCCTGTACATTTCAAAACAACATTTATAGCTTATGCACAAATAAAATCTAAATACTGACAAATTAATACAGTAAAAATTTCTTAAAATCATTTCATTAATATTTCAGAAATTTATAACGACTTATACCGGTGATTTCCATGCTTTGTAACTTGCACTAATGGTACCTTTGTATTTTCATTGGCCACAACAAGCCAACATACACTCTCATATCCAAAATTATTTTAACATGCATGAAATCATGAATTTCTCAAAAACAGTGCAGTACAATACAAAGTCGAATATACGGATCTTCTGATGATTATGGATCTTTTTTTCTTATTTTTTAGAAATTTTTTGCGAAAAGACGAATTTGATTTCAAGATTAGCATATGTATAATGCTACATACTTGCGCTGTACATATTTTTTTCATAATGAGAGCAAGCACAGTAGATATTTCTTTTCATAATAAGGCAAGTGGAGGGCCCTGATTCTTTCGTTTCAGTACTAAACAGAACATCTCTATGTTAAAGATACAATCATTTATTAGTTTAAATCTGAATAATCAATAATTTGGCTCATTAGTTGCCTTACTAAACCAGCGCATGAATTCCAAACCAAAACATTTTTTCAAAGTTTCTCCCTGATTTTATGGCTAATGAGTATCATGTAACCCTTATGCCAACCTGTTATGACCACCCTTCATCTGTAACATTGGGCTTCCCCAGGAACAAAACCATTGCATGTGAGCGGCTGATATTAGGAGTATATAAAGCGGCTATGTATTGTCTTTCCAAGCATAGCGCAATTAGCGACATAATGGGAAAATCAGCTGATTTATCAGATTTTGATTCAAGTCAAGTCATTATGGATTGGCAACTGGGCGACCGACTGATATCAGAAACAGCGCCTTTAGTGCACTGTTCACATGCAGTTGTTGTGAGCACATATCAAAAGTGATGTACGGATGATGAAACAACGTGGAGATTGCTACGCATTGTTCGTAGTGACCGAAGAACTACAACAATCGAAATCACAACCAGCTACAACAGTGTGACCCAGACAGTGCTTCTCAACGTGCTGTGCAGCATACATTGCTGCATCTGGGCCTATGCAACTGCAGGCCAAAGCATGTCCAGCTGTGTCTGCAATGGGCCAAGAAACATCAGAATTGGACATTAGAAGAATGGAAGAAAGTTGAAGAATCAACTTTTCTGGTCTATCACATTGATGAGCATGTGCTAATACATCAATTTTCAAATGAAACTCTCACTCCCAGATACACAGTCGCATGGAGATAACCTTGTTGGAGAGGGTATTATGGTGTGGGCAATATTTTCATGGAGCACATTAGGACCCATATTTTCCATAGAACAATACTCGACATCTGTGCACTACATGAACATTGTTGCAGACCAGGTTCACCCATTCATGGCAACTGTATTCCCGGTGGGGAAAGGTGTTTATCAACAGGATAATGCACCATGTCATAAGGGTCGCATCATCAGGAAGTTGTTCGAGGAATATTCCAATGACTTTTAAGTCAA